AGTTTTACCGTCTTGTTGCATAGTTGATAAGTATCACATTATTATTGTTAATACAGTTTTACCGTCTTGTTGCATAGTTGATAATTATCGCTTTGTTTTTCTGCATGCTGATCGTTCGTTTTGCACTGGCTTGTGATGTATGACGCAGCATGTCACGTGCTTCTTCACTGAGCTTTAAGTGTTAATAATCATGTTTAGTATGTATATTTCTCTGTTTAGGTCTCACATGTACTAAATCTTTACTTTTTTTTCTTCTAACGAAGAATTTTTGACAAATTGGGTTTGATTTGCAAATTTTAATTAAATTTTCATTTTATACTTCTTAAACGTTACACATTCGGAAGATATAGCATTGTATATCTATAGTTTTTCACACTTTTTTATGGGGAAAAAAAAACTTATCTAAAACAGTTTTTTACGCTTTAAAAAAACTTGTGGTTTATTGGTTATTATGCACGGACTGTGAATCCGAGGGTTAATGGTTCGCGACCTATAGTCGCAAAATCAGTCAAATCCTGCTATTCGATCAGACAAGAGTAGCCAAAGAGTTGGCGGTGGATGCTGTTGACTGACTCTTCTAATGCACCCATGGTCCCGCAAGTGCAAAGCGAGATTTTTGTCTTTTCAGACTACGGGATGCAAACCTTGGATCCGCAGTCCTCCCGATAACCACTAGGTCACAGAAAAATGGAGGGGAAAAAAATCAATGTCACAACAGATCATTTTAGGCCTAGTTTCGAAATATTTGTCACTTTTGCCATTACATCTTTGAGAAAATTACAAAACTTTTCTTACCTGAACATCCAACTTCCCATTCTCTTATTAAGATACATTAGTGAATGGAAACTTTGGTTTACCCAAAATAGTCAAATTAGATTTTGTAAAGAGTGACATTTGTTACTGTTCAAACATTTAAAGAAGATTTTCATGTTATTAAAAAAAACTTTAAACACGTCAAGTTTAAGGTGTTGAGCTCCTTAAACCCAAGCGGACGTTCCTAACGTCCAGTCGAAAATCCCTATTTACCCATCGGAGGTGAAAGCGTCCGATAACATTTATGTTCTCTTCTTTTATAAATAAACCGGAAATTTTAAAAGGTATGGTGAGATAATGGTTAGGACATCACGTAAATAATTATAGGTTTAAAGAGTTAATAAGCTTAAATTCACTTAGCTATTTGCTAGAATAATTCTGCATATCAGATTCTCTCTCTGTATCGTCTTATCATTTATTGGAATTTTGTTGTTTCTTCAAATACGTAACATCAAAATTGATTGGGTTTTGTTTCATTTTCAATGTTGTTGAGATTCACACCATCTTCGACAGTTCATATTGTCACGTCTCTGTTCGTTTGTTTGTTAATTTTCCGTTAAAATTCTTTCCGAAGAAACTTTAGCGATACAAGTCCTTTTTTAAATAAAACTAGTTTATTCTTTCTCAATGCAACTTTGCAAAACACTTAATTTCCACAGTCACGCTAAAACTTAAACAAACACTATAATTCACAACGAACGATTCACGCCCTTGACTCAGTTGTCCGTCTCTATATCTGTCTGCAATTCAATTCCGATTGAATAGTCTCACGTTAACCGGCGCACTTATATACAGGAATAGAGGGCGCCTAGCACATACTGGATTATTCGTGATGTTCCCCGATCCTTTGAAAATGTCATGACGTGTTACCAGAGTCACGTGACTACCGCTGTCGTAACAATATCTTTAGAGTGGTATCCCAGGGCTACCGTGACGTTTTCGTTAAGTTTTATACCATATGTAACTACTACTACTACTACTTAAAACATTTATTCTTGTCTATAGAAGAGTAAGAATTGATTAAAATAAAATAAAAACACATCAATCTCAAAGATAAAAACATAAATGACAAAACAAAATTTTACTTTGAATTGATTCACGCGCACATAAATAAAATATAGAGCTTACTAATAAACAATTAATAAAATTGATTGTGATCATAGCATCCCGTGACTTGGCATACTTCTACTGATGGGACAAAAATCATAGGACACATGATTTTGAAGAAGCCTACAAAAGATGGCGCTAGCAGCATTTCTAGTGCGTCTGTTCTAGGCCTAAAAGTTGTGGGAGGTAAATATTTTGACTCGGAACATCTAGGTGCCGTGATAGAAAAGGTCACGAAAGGAAGTATAGCGGATACTATCGGTCATCTTAGGGCAGGTGGGTAGAAGCACATTTATCTATTAATGTTATACCAACGTACAATTAACCGTTTATAAATTAATTGTTTTGTTCTAAAAATGTATTATTTACGATACTACAAAGAATGCGGTTCAGATATTAGTTTTTCTTGAAAAGAAACAATTCCTTTATTTTCTTTAACTTTGGCCCTTCTTTAGACGCTTATCTATGGAAAGTAAAAACGGTCAAAATATTATTGATAATACTGAAATAAAATTTGGATGTAAAAATGTTGTTTTTATCATATCGGGTGTGAGAAATGTCTTTAAAGGTTGATTTAACGTTGCCATCTTTTAATTAATATTTGCCCTTGTTTTAAGCGCGTGAGATTCAGCATTGCATTAGTCATCTATTGTATGAAAATGTATATATGAATACTTTTTAATTAATCACGATAATATACTCGATACCTTGTGTATTCGAGGGTGATATGTCTGAATGTATTACATTACCAACTCCTTACCCATCACTCTCTGTCCGTAGGAGATGAAGTATTGGAGTGGAACGGCCGATCTTTGAAAGGCATGACGTATGAGGAAGTCTGCGATATTATGACAGAATCTCGTCAAGAGCCACAAGTGGAGTTGATAGTTTGTAGACTTCTCAGGTAAGAGCTTAACCCGTTGAACCGATAATAAAGATGAAATATCATATGGACGATTATCTTCCAATTACAGAGAGTTGTACTACATTAAGCTCCCACAACTTGAAAGATTCCAATATGATGTCCCCTGGTGGGACAGCGATAAGTTTACGGAATTACAACGCTAAAATCCGGGGTTCGATTCCCCCACGGTGGCCACAGCAACTTCAACCACTTCAGAAGTCTGATATTCATAAGAATGGGCTGAGGGAGTAAAGCAGAAGTCTGATATTCATAAGAATGGGCTGAGGGAGTAAAGCAGAAGTCTGATATTCATAAGAATGGGCTGAGGGAGTAAAGCAGAAGTCTGATATTCATAAGAATGGGCTGAAGGAGTAAAGCAGCTAACGACACCTATTGTGTATAGGTTGTATCTAGCGGCACCTATTGTGTTTAGGTTGCAACTAACGACACCTATTGTTTTAAGGATGCACACAACACAAGAGTCTTTGAAATAATAAACTGCTCAAAACAATTACAGCATAACATAAATTTGCCATATTTTAGCTATAACAAGGCAAAAAACACCACTATAAGATAATGTTTGGCACACAAACTGGCTTAGTAAAATGTGTTTTTCACCGGCTATACACACACGGCATCCAGTTGCGGCAGCGAACATCTGATCCAGTCTCAAAGCATGTATCTTTCCTACGATTGTAGCAAACCAGAATAGACGAATAGCAGTCGTCTGCTAGTATCACGGATGATAGTCTAGCTTGTTGAGGTGTCCTAACAGTCGTACCATTGGTTGGAAAGGAGTTTCACATTCTACTAACGATATTTTGAGACAACATCAATTCGTAACAGCTTGCCGTGATTGGCTGGCTTCTCTTTGTTCAATAGTTATCCAAACGAGTGAAACTTTCAAATATCTTGCCATGGTTTTCCTGAACAATTTAGGTCATCTCAGACTCTGTGATTCACTCCAAAGTGAAGACTAGGCTAAATTATGTGAGGCCACTCTTATACGTATAGCGTAGACTGAACTGTCAGTCAACTGTATTTCAACTCATACAACTGATAATTTGCAACCTATACACAATAGGTGCCGCTAGATACAACCTATACACAATAGGTGTCGCTAGTTGCAATCTATACACAATAGGTATCGTTAGTTGCAACCTATACACAATAGGTGTCGCTAGTTGCAACCTATACACAATAGATGTCGTTAGTTACAACCTATACACAATAGGTGTCGCTAGTTGCAACCTATACACAATAGATGTCGTTAGTTACAACCTATACACAATAGGTGTCGCTAGTTGCAACCTATACA